AGAAAATATATAAAAAATTTAAAAAGATCTTTTCTGGTTTGGATTTGAATTTTATTTCTTTCTAAGAACACGTTCATGTATTTGTTCTCCACTGTCTTTTGTGCATCGCACACCCGTGTTCTTTGTTTATGACAGTGCACTTTAAGAATGTGGAACAGTTCTTCGCGTACGGAGAATGCAGAACTTTCATCATGCACCACGCACATGGATCCCGGTTTGCTCGTTTTCTAAAGCTGTCTTTAAAACCCCAGCCACTCCTACCGTCATCATCTTCTGCTTCCCAGAATCAACCACTTTCAACCCTTTTAATTCACTCTTTTAGTGACTGTGTCCATGTCTCTAAATCACATGCTTCTGTTGCTACTTATTGATATTTGCTGTTTTGGTTTTAGGCAATATTCATTGATTTCTCTCAGCGGAAATTTTTATATCATTTCAAGCGCTACCATTTAGAACTGATACACTCTATTTCTATTGCTTAGGGTTAGATTGAGGAACTTTGCAGTGCATCACTGCCATAATTTAAAGCTACCTCCCTCCTACAACATGCTTCTGGGCTTCCCCTGCCCATTTAGGTGCCGTCGTTCTCCAGGATTTGCTCTTGTCTTGTTTCATTAATCCCACAAGTGAGAAATTAATTTATGGATCCAATATTCCTTCAGATTTATGCACATATTTACTATTTTCTTTTCTCGTCATTTCTTCTTGCATCTTACAGCTTTTATCTAGGACTTTTTTTTTCCTGCTTGAAATAAATTCTCCATAATTTCCTTTAGTGGATATGGTTGATGAACCTACATTTGACCGGAATGTCTCTATTTTGAAACATAGTCTCAAGATGTTTTTCAAAGATAGCTTTGCGGAGTATTCGATTCTGGTTTTATCTCCCTCAGCACATTGAGAATATTTATTCGCTGTCTTTCGATTTCCACGTCTGCTGTTGAGAGCTCAGCAGTTAGACTTGTCAGCTTCTGCAGGTGTTTGGCCACTTATGTTCTTCTGCCAGGTTCTAAGACTTAGCTGTTTTTCGGTGGTTTTCTGCAGTTTCATATGATCGGGGTGTGTGTCTCCTTTTAATTTAGCTTCCTAGGATGTGTTGGGCTTCTTTACGCTAAGGATTCATGCTCTTTATTAGTTCTGGAAAATCGTCAGCCGTTACCCACTGAATATTGGTTGTTCTCCTTTAACTCTGTTGCCCTAGAACCCAGGTAGGTGTGTGCTGGGCTTTCTCTCTCTGTCTTCCTTGTACTTTCCCCTCTTTCTTGTTTTGTCTTCTTATGTAACCTGGGCATTCTCGTGTTATCTGTCTTGTAATTCTTAACTCTCTAGTCTGCCGTTCAGTTTTCTAATTTCAATTATTGTATTTTTCATTTCTAGAATTTCCATTTTAGATTATTTTTTAAAAAATATCTTTGGATATTATTTATAGTCTCTTTTCTCTCATTCTTCGTTGCGTATTTATTTTCATGTACTTTTGTATACTTATACTTTTTGTCTGATAGTTCTGGTATTTGAAGTCTTTGCTTATCCAGTTTGCTGACTTCTGTCCATGGGTGCTTTTCCCGTGATTTTTTGACTGTGACCTCTTGTTTCCGCCCAGCACCTGAAGGCACCGTGTGTCAGGACCACCGTCCCTCCATTAATAGGACCTCTGTGTGTTGGTGTGTTTGCGTTTGAGATGGACGTTAAACACCATGAAATTCACCCTTTTGAAGTACAAAATTAAGTGGTTCTTAGTAAAGTCACAAGGCTCAAGACCTCTTTTAAGCACAGGCTTGGTGTGAGGTGTAGCCAACACAGGTATTGTGAGTTTGTGCTGTGCATGCACATGAGAGCCAGCATTATGGTTACAGATTCTTGTGTGAGATTTCTTTTCCTTTTACCTACAATCAAGACTGAAGGGCCTTGCTGTTTTCCTTGCTGTTTGCTTCTGCAGGGCACGTTGGCTTCTGTCTGCCTGACACCTGAGGTGCAGCCCTGGTCCCTGGAGCTTATGCAGGAGCTTCCTCCCAAACTCCCTCCTTGAGAGTTTTATCTCCTGTCTCTTGCCTCCCCGAAGCTGGCAGAACGGAATTTCAAGGTCACACGTGTTGAGCAGGTGCCTCAGGGAAGCTACTAGCTTCAGAGTTAGCTCACCCCCCTGAATTCTAGCTCTTGCTTCATTTTTGGCCTCAGGAGATTTGATTCTTTACTTACTTGTCAACTCAGCAATACATGTAGAAATCTTTCTGAAAAATATTTTACTCAGCATTTTTTTAGTGGCAAGGTTATTTGGGATACCGCAGGACTGTTGTCCGCCTTTTGGTTTTGTTGACAGTGTGCATTTTTTTCTCTGTCCGTCTTTTGTCAGCCCTCCAGGGACAGACTGTGTTCGGCGGTGGCCACACACGGTTCTGTGGCCGTTCTTTCCCTTTTGGAGCCGGCGGTGGAATTCCTTAACTTGCCTGGGATCTGGGACTGCCACTCCGATCCCTGCAGAAGGAGACACTGCTGCTTCCTCAGAGGCTCAGCTACAGAAGTCTCACATTCGTCTTAGGGTGTAATAGAACTGCATTCATTTCCTTATCTTTGCTTATGGCTTGCCAGCTTTGGGGCATGGGGTTTCAATCCCTCTCTCTCCCCGCAATCACTTTTTTCTGGCTTCTTTTGAGAATAATTTCTCTCATTATACCAAGAGGATAGAGAAAGCATCCTCAGACCCTTCCACCCCCTTTTGGGAGGCCAGCTTGCCTGGGCAGCTCATATAGGAGGAACCAAGGGAGCGTGTCCTGTGGGTCACTCCCACTCACAACCCCAGAGTCTCAGGTTCAACTTAGTGACTTTGCAGCTGCTCCTGGAAACACCCGTCCACATCCTATTTCTGGGTGAGTCTGTGCCTCGCCTGTCTGGGGATGGGCCCCAGATGAGCCCAAATGCCCGGACACCACCCCTCCCCCTTCAGGAAGCTTCTGTTAATTATCACTGACAGGAAGCAGAAGAGGAAGCATGAAAACAGTCATCTCAAGGGATTGGGGGAGGAAATGATTCCCTTAGGAAAGTTTGTTAGAACCTCTTCTGGAAGTTTTTATAATCCCCACCCTTCCAACCCCACTGCTTCTGCTAGGAGTGGTCCAAAGTGGGAAATGTGGAGAATGATTGATCTGGAGTTACACCGTCCGACAGGGTAGCCAGGAGCCACGTGTAGCTATTGAGCTCTTAACGCATGGCCAGTAAAATAGTCACTGGGTTTCCAAGGTTCAAGACAAGAAATGCAAAGACCTCAATAATTTTATATCGATTAAATATTGCAGTGGCGTTATTTTTAAATCGTTACCTGAAGATGTGTTTATTAAGAGAGAAAGAGAGAGACACACCGATGCGAGAAGCAGCGATGGGTTGCCTCCCGTACTTGCCCGACCCAGGATCGAACCGCAGCCAAGGAATGTAGCTTGACCAGGAATCAAACCTGCAGCCTTTTAGTACATGGGACAATGCTCCAAGCAACTGAGCCACCCAGCCAGGGCACAATTTTGGATATGTCAGATTAAATAAAATACTTACTAAAATTAATTCCACCTGTGATTTTTTTACTTTTTAAAATGCGGCTGCTAGAGAATTTAAAGTTACGTGTGTGACATGCCTTCTCGGGGTGGGTTTGGGCGTCCCACCCACCTGCCCTAACTCGGAACTCCCTGCCTTTCCCAAATGACCTTGATACTGCAAGGTGATTTCCTCTGTGCCTGATTTTACCCTCAACTTTAACTTCATCCTTGCAATGTTTTTAACTCATGCCCTCTTGGTGATCATCTTGGGCAATATGGACGTGTAAATGATCACCTAATATTTTTTCTCAGATAAATACATTCCTAATTTATAAACTTCAAGTAACAGTTCCTACTATTAGGCAACATTTCACGGCACCTCTGAACTGGAAATCGGGGAGCGCAGGAGGATTTGCTCCAACGCTCCTTCAGCACTTCAGCTTCCAGCTGAGCACAGCCCGGAGCTCAGGGGCTGGGGCTCTGAGCAGGCTGCCCCGTGGTGCAGGCAGGGACAGGACCGCCCCGGGGCCCCCGCTGCATTCCGGGCAAAGTGGGGAGAACCAGGCGCCTCCCTCCAACAGGTGCAGGGACCAAGTGAACGAGCGCTCACACCAGTGTTTGGCACATACACACATGGCTGCTTTGGTCACTGTTTTTAACAAAACGAGACCCTACTCTAAATGCTGTTTGGAAGCCTGTTGTTTTAACTCAGTGGTACCTGTAGGCTGTCTTTGTTTTATTTTATAACGTAATTTTAATGTCATAGTATCCTTTCATATGGCTATACTGCAGCTGCTTTAATGGATCTGCTGTAGGGATTTTAGGTCCGTCCTTTCTTCCTTTCGTTTTTTTCCCTCTCTTTTCTCCCCTTCTCTGTCTCTCTCTCTCCTTCCTTCCTTCCTTCCTTCCTTCCTTCCTTCCTTCCTTCCTTCCTATGCAGTTACTGTACCAAACCTACTTACATTAATAAGGTTTTGGTAATATTGCCCGAGTCTTCACATATTTTCCAAAAATTGTTCATGTCCCACCTCCTGCCTACAAGAGTGAGTGTCAGGAGTAAGATCTGCCAGCTTTTCCCACCACCATCGAGGAGACACAGTTAGTTCATGGCCTTGGTGCTGGTGAAGAGCCTCCTTCTCTCCGCTCACCCGTGACCTTCGTTCCTCATGCCCGCTCTGAGCTTGCCCAGGTGGCAGAAGTTCAAGTCTTCTTCCCAGAGTCCCATGTTGAGCTCTATTAATTTTCATCATTTATTCCACTTAACGGTGAAGTGTAATCCTGTATACCATTGTTGCTTTATAATTCCTTCCACCGGATTGATTGTAAGAATAATTACTGTAGGGGGAAAAAGAAAGGTGAAATCATTTTACTTGAATTCACTTCTTGCAGACAAAGCTGTTCGTGGTGGTGTTTCCGAAGGGTTATTTCTCTTTTCTGAAGGCAGCGTGTTCTCACTGATCTGTTTTCTGATTGTTTCAGCTGCCGTAAGGAACCACTGGCCGGAAAGCAGCCCTGAGCCCCAGGTAGAAAGCATCCCCTTTGATCAGAGTCAAGTGGACTTCCCCGAAGTGGTCCCCAAAGGCCGTGTGATGGTCCAGACCCCCGGCAGAGGCCACGCTTCTTTAGATGCAGCAGAAAACTTGACTCCTCAAACTGGAATAGCGGGTGCTGGAGGAAGAAACAACTCCTTGAGAGCAAATGTCACCACTGTCCCCGCTGGGGCTGAGACAGCAACAGCTCTGACTTCCCAGAGCAGCACCTTAGGTGAGTTAGTGCTGATGGCACTCATTCCATGTATGTGTGTCCAATACTGGAAAACACAGATGCCGCCGGTCTCCCTCCACCTCTGGAGCCTCAGCACCGTCTTCAGGTCCTGGGCTGGGGATCAGGCAACTCTGCAGTTAACTGAGCTCTAAGTGTAACCCAGTCAAGGGTGCAGATTTGCTGAGGGTCCTGTCCAATCCCATAGAATCTATATTCCATGGCCAGTCTGAATCTAAACAGCATCAGTGAACCTGACACACACTGCAGGTATCAGAGGTACCAGCTGTGGTGGGATGTGCGGCTGTTTGTGTTGATGTACCTCAGAGGGATACTCTGGCTTCAATCTGCATAGCTGGTCCTTTGCCATTTTTCACAGAATATTTCAAGATGGGGTTGGGGCTGGATGAACAAGATTTGATTGAGGAAGGGAAGACAGAAAGCCAGTGCTCATTAGGTCCCTACTACATACCAACATGTCTGGTCTCTCAGTTCTCATAGTAAGCCGATGAGGTCACATTATTCTCACCTTAGGAATTTGGAAATTAAAGTTCAGAGAAGTCAACCCACAGCTAACAGGTTTCGGAACTGGGATTTGAGCCTAAGTCTGTGTATCCGAGCCAGGTGGAAGGGCAGCTGGGGAGTGGGTGCCCGGACCTCGTGAGCCCGGGAGAGAAGTGTGGGCCCTTTGGGGGACACAAGGCCAGCAGCCTCCCTGGGGGAGGGTGTAAGTCCCCCAGGAGCAGTGGTTAGGAGGGCTGTGCAGGTGTCGTTAGGGACAATCACGGAGGACCTCAAAGGGCTGGCAGTTTAGATTTGGCATAGTGTCAAGAGTCACTGACAGTTTTTGAACCAGGCAGTGACATGATTAAAGCGGATTTGGGGAGGCGGGTATAAGATGTCTGGAGAGAGAGAGATGGGTTGAAGGGAAGGAACCTGGAGTCAGGGGGACCCCTCAGACAGACATAGAAATCTAGACACTGGGTGCTAAAATGTGGCCTGGTGGCCTTGAGGGTGGAGAGGAAAGGACTGATAGAGACTCTTCACAAAGGAAAATCAGTAGGACTCGGGCATGGCCCAAAAGTAAACAGAGCCACCAAAGATGCCTTGCAGTTTGACGCCCTAGTTACACCTTTTTACAGTGCTCAACTCTGTAAAAAGTACGTATGAGAGTATTTTGTGTTTTATTCCCGAGTAATGGAGTTAGAGCTTAGAACCTCTATACAGAATGCTGCCTGGGTTTGCTGGTCTTCTGGGTATTGGAAATTTTGTTTAGGATGAATTAAAGTAAGTTCTTAAACCAACTTTGTGGAATGTGAGTGATGAGTCAAGTGGATCAGAAACCAATCTCTGATTTGGTATCGTCCGATACTTAGCTTCATTGTGCCCGTTCTCGGATACTTTCGCCACAGGATGCAAAGTCTTTGTCTGTGAGGTCTAAAGACAGTCTTCATCTTCCTTTGTGGACTCTCGTTCAGGGCTTAGCTTTTCATAGAAGAGGGAATTGCTCCCGACTTCCTCTCATGTCTGTGTATGTTACAGAGGTCAGCGCTGCGCCCACTTACAGACTATTCAGACATTTGGAGGTCTCCTGGTGGAACTTTAATTGTTACTGTCTACTTTCAGCCTTGGGAAGGCTTCCCCTGCCGTCCAGCAGTACAGGGTCAGAGGGAAGAAGTGCCCCTTCCCACACAGAGAGCAGGACATCCTGGGGTTCCCCGGCCAGGGGGCAGGGGTTCCCCGAAGAAGTGACTGTGCATCCCCAAGTGGCCACTTCCATTTTGAGCCAGTCCTCTCTTCCTGCTTTGGAGATGGCAGAAGAGACCACACTCTCCAGGAAGAGAAATTCCCCGGAACCGGAGCTCTCTGGGCTGCACTTCTCCAGGACATCGGCTTACCCTTCTCCCTCAGATCGTTCTGCAAGTGAGTACCCCTATCCCAGGTCACCCTCTGACGTCACTCAGAATAGAAGTAAGTAGACATGTAGAGCTGGACATACTTGTCACATGATGGACTAAGGGAAAAAGACGTTAAGTGCGAATGCAAAGTATTCGGGGTGAAAGTACAACCCACACAATTTATCTCAGTATTGAAGTTCATCTTTAAAATATGTTTTCTTTGCCCTGGCCAGGTGGCTCAGTTGGTTGGAGCATTGCCCCATATACTCCAAAAGGTTGCAGTTTCAGTTCCCAGTCAGGGCACATACCTAGGTTGTGGGTTCCATCCCCAGGTGGGGAGTGTATAGAAGGCAACCAATCGATGTTTCTCTCCCTACTCTCTCTAAAATCAATCAATGATTTCTTTTAAAGCCCTGGCTGGTGTGGCTCAGTTGATTGAGTGCCAGCCTGCAGACCAGAGGGTCGCCAGTTCTATTCCCAGTCAGGGCACATGCATGGAGTGTGGGCCAGGTCCCCAGCAGGGGGTGTGCGAGAGACAACCGCACGTTGATACTTCTCTTTTTCTCTAGCTCCCTCCCTTGCCCTCTGTCTACAGATAAATAAAATCTAAAAAGAAAATTTAAGTATGTTTTCTTTAACTGTATAAAGAGGAAGATAATAGCTGGTCTGGTGGCTGATCTAGAGCTTTCTGTCCTCCAACCCCTGCTTTTCCCATTTCCCCCCATGTACACACCTACACACACAGCAAAGATGAAGTGTCGGTGGTGTGAATTCTTGCACAGGAGACCACATGCTAGGTGAATGAAATGGTGAGCTTTTTCTCATTTGATTGGGAGTCGGGTTTATATTTCTTCACTATTGCAAAAGTTTCTTTTAATGGCAAGGATAACGTATGCATTTTTCTAGGCATCATTAAAAAAATCATCTAATGCAGGTGTTTGCAAGGCTACAGAAGTGGCGGGTTCACCTCTTTGTCATTTCCAGTTCCTAGCTATCAGTTAAGTCTCACTCAGGTATTTCCTTCCTTCTCTGTGAAGCCTTCCTTCAGCCCTCTGACCTGGGCGTCTCGGATACCTTATCATACTAGGTGACCCAGTGTCCCTCTGCCCAGATGGACTGTAACCCTTTTGAGGGGGTTGTGTCTGTTACTTCTCCTAGGTTTCCCATTGCCCTGGATCAAGCTACATTTGATTAGTAATGAGGGTAGCATGTTCCCGTATTTCGCAGGGCTCACCCAGCCGCGGGCCAAAGAAAATATTGGAAACTCTGCCTGCCTCTTCTCTTCTTTGAGGTTTCATTTCAATTCGGTGAATGTTGTGTGTGTTTTCATCCCCACGCCAGAGGGAGCAGGACAGATTGGGTTAGAAATACTCGTGGGAAATAGAAGTTAAGTTGCCCTCGAAATTGCCACTTTTCAAAACTTTTGAAGGTCAGGGCTTTGTAGAAGTACTTTGCAAGACCAGAGGTTTGGGTCTGTGTCATCGGCACAGAAACCAACCCCGGAGGTCCTTTCTGCGATGCCTATTTAAAGCTGCCAGTTCCGCTTCCATACACTTTGTGCGTCATTTCCTGCTGGCTGAGTATGTGTATAATTTATGATTCGTGTTTTTCGGAGATTGCTATTTAGGATTATTCTTAAACATCGGTTAGATCAGATAAGAGCCATGATCCTTTCCAGCTTCAAAGCTCTGTGGTTCAGTGATTTACCACCAGCCTCACTAGATGGTGGGAAGGAAGCATCTTCTAAGCTGCACTTGGGTTCTGGTCAGGGTCATGCAACATTTATAATTCATATTCAACCCACTGCTGTGTTATATTTGAAAATCAGCCTGTGTTTCTAGCTTTACTGCACTTGACTCTGTGGTCCCCTGTATTTTCAACATTAAAAAAATAATTGGTCCTCAAATTCTTTGAGCATTCATCATTTCAGAAGCTTATACTTAAAAAAAAAGTTTTACTTAATTATTTTGAGGGGCGAAAGGAGGAGGAAAGAGAGGGAGAGAAACATTGATTGGTTGTTCCTGGTACATTCCCTACCCCCACCGTAACCCAGACATGTGCTCTGACTGGGAATCGAACTGGTGACCTTTCCCTTTGCAGGATGACACCCAACCAACTGAGCCACACTGGTCAGAGCAGAACCCTATACTTTCAACTTTAAAGAATAGTGCCCTGTCTTTCCATTCTCGAGTCTTTCACTGAGAACTTCTCTTCCTTCTCAGTTAACTGGGTGTTCTGTGCTAGTTAGAGTCCGACCTCCTTCTCACATGCTGAAGAGGGTACTGGGTGCTATTAAATGAGGGGATGGCCAGGCATCCGGGAATTATGGATCCAGCCTCCAGCCTCCCTGTGGGGAGTGACGAGGGGACATGCACAGGGACCTGAAGCCAATGAGAAAACCAAGTTCTCCATTTTTGAGGCTGGGCTAGCACCCCGTTCCCTGCTAGCCAGAGCCCTGGTATACCTCCCTCCTCCCATTAAATCTGTGTCTTGGGATTTTACCGTCCCTTTCTGGCCAGGGGGTCCAAGAGCTCTAGGCTGGCAGGGCTTGTTGGAGGCAGACCAGAGTCGCCCGGTCCAGCCGGCCCATCTGTGGAACGGGGTGCGGAGGAAGTACGGTGGCCGCATGGGTCTTTCGACACTTGGCCACTCCACACACTAGTAGATGTGAGTCAGTGAGAGCCCTGGCTCTCAGACCGGCCAGGGGAGCGGTGCTGCCCACCGGGTGATCGCTAGGGGGTCCCCCAGGAGCCGGGCCCAGGGGGAGCGGGGCTCCTCATTTGCAACATGAAAGGATTAGGTCAGATGACCCTAAAGATTCTTTCTAGCTCCAGCGTCTGTTGTTGCTCCAAACACATCAGGCTTTGTATTCCGTGCCTCTTTCACTCCTCACCCTGCTGCACAGAAACGGCCGTGCGGCACCGCCTCTCCCTTGGCTCCAGGACCGGCCTCCAAACAGAGGTCGAGTGCAGCCAGTGCACACTTGGAAGCAGGTGTAGGCCCAGAGACCTGAGTCAGATCTAAAAAAGGGATCGGAAGCTATCTGAAATGATGTTTCTTGCCGCTTTGTATCTTTCTCTACTTTCCATAATGACTGTGTATTATTTGATCACAAGGGGAAAAAGTAAGTAAAGCAACTGACAGGGAAAAAAAATCTCTTCTGAAGGTGGGAAGAGATCTGTGTGTGTTGAGTTGTGTGAGAGCAGCTACAGTTGATCACTAAATTTACTGCTGAGCTTCCTGGAAACCAGGGCACAAAGGGAGGCCGGGTGGGGCCCGAGACTGTAGTCTGATGAGTAAGCACACAGTTCCATCCACAAGCCTGTGTTTCGTGGGCAACACATTCTGAGAGGAATATTTCTATAAGGAAGGTTGAGAATCATGATAGGAAAATGCCATCAATTGCTGTTTTGTGCAAATTATGCTAATGTTCTTTAAAAGATGATATTTTATATGGAGTCTCAATTGGAGCTGAGGGTGTAATACTGGATCTCAACTCATGAAAGTATTTCTGTGGGAGCTGAGCTAATGTGGTCCAGGTAAATCGCTTGGTGGTGATCTAGCAGAGCGAGCGTAAATAACCCAGAGACTGTAGGTTTAGCGTATCTTTCTCAAATATCAGCTGCTTCAGCCAGATTTTTGGCAGGTTCTGGGTAGCAGCCGAGCCAAGGCAGAGCTTTCTGGTGCTCGCCCCAAGCTCCCGTGTTTGCGCTGCAGCTAGAGACTGGCCCAAGTGTTTTACCAGAGGAGCGGTCATTCTGTCCACCTCCTGTAATAAACTCAGGGGACTTCGCTTGTTTCTGCTCCCAGTCGATGGTCTTCCTGTTTTTGAATTGCTGCTTTAAGGGTAGAAATGAAGGAAGGCTGACTACTAACTAATCAATACAGCAGGCCTGTTAATTAGAAACATGGTAGGAAATTTCCCCTGTGTGTCGTTAGCAGGTGCCCATTTAGTGATTAGGTGCTGATTGTAGATTTGTTTGACCAAACGTTTTGTCTTTTGAGGAAGAGGCACTGGCTCTACAGGAGTCTTCACGCTGCTCCAGAACTTCCCTGTGAGGACTGAGTGAGATCTGTGTGCAGAGTGCTGACTTGGCGCAGTGTGTAAAGTGCACGCGCAGTGTGTAAAGTGCACGTACAGTGTGGCTCATCATAATTGGTCAGTGAGTGGCCGCTTTTGGCCATGACGATAATGAGTTGATGAAGCGCAGGTTGCACAGAGCCCCCACAGGTCAGGGAGCACAGCCCCTTTCTTTCTGTGGTTGTAGCATCTGTGACTTTTGTAATATTTCTGTGGCCGTTGATTTGCTGGACGGTATTCAGGCCGAGTCCAGTATAACCGCCACTGTACATTGGATGGACGAGATAATGCCGCTGACTGGGAGTGGACGTGCTTTGGAAGAGCACCCAGCAGCCCAGGGAGGCTGTAACTTGGTGGAGTTAGATGATAACGGTCATGAAGTTGGGTCTGAGCAGCTAAGTGGTTGAGTGAGGGTTTGGGATGCATCTATAGGAAGCTCTCCTTTTTTATATTAATGTGTTTCTGTTTTCTTTTGTTAAATAAAAGATGCTATTTATTTTTTTAAATATATTTATTGATTTTAGAGAGAGAGGAATGGGGGAGAGAAAGAGAGAACAAAAGGGAAACATTGATGTGAGACAGAAACATCGATCAATCGCCTCCCGTACACACCCTGACCAGGGACCAGACCCGCAGTCCAGGTGTGTGTCCTGACCGGGAATCGAACCTGAGCCCTTCTGTATGTGAGATGCTGCTCCAGCCAACTGAGCCACACTAGGCAGGGCAATGCGGTTTTGTTTTTAAGTAGTGGGTGTAGGTAAGCGGGGACTCTATTTTTGTGTCTGGGTCTTTTTGCTTCTTCTAATTCCTGTGTGTAGGGATCCCCTGCATCTTCATTTTGTCCTCACTAACGTCCAGTGACCAGAGCTGCCGGCCACGTTCGGGCATAGTTGGTCCTGTGGTTTGTACGTGACCAAGGGACCTTTATGTGTCCTATGCTCTTTTTCCAGTTATATTTAATATTTACTTGTGCTTTTGGCCAGAACTGTACGTAGGACAGGTCTTCAAGGAACCATTTATAGTGAGAACTTCCTTCTTCTCTTTCTGGGTCATCGTTAACAGCTTGAAACCCTTCATGATAAGGTATAGAGTCCTTTTTTATTATTTTTGGCTTAAAAAGAAAAATAACCCTCTTTTTACTTGCTTTTGGATCTTGCTTGCTGTGTCTCTCCCCGCTCCATGAGCTTCCCTGGAGATCACTGCGGTGAGCAGCGAGCCTTTCGGTGTGTGCGCCCAGGTCTGTGCTCAGGGCGTCCTTGGAAAGGGCTCTGTGAGAGGGAGCGACGAGCAAGCCACCTGTCCTCTTGTGCAGCAGGTTGTGCATTTTAAACGGTGGTGTTTGATTCTGTGCATGTTAAACAGTGGTGTGTGCTTCCGTGCTCAGAGGTGTTTGATAATTAACCCCGTCTCAGCCATCCATCTCATCAGGAAAACTGTTCCCAACCTGGAGTCCTGGGCCTGCCAGGGCCCAGTGGAGTAGAACATACACTTGGGAGCCGGCCTCCAAAGCCTGAACAGGCAAAGTACAATAATGGAGCCTGTTTGCTTTTGGCTGGAATTAAATCAAATCAGTGGGGTAACAGTAACTGTCTCCTGCTGATTGGAAGGTCTGTTGCTTAGTAAATGCATTTCAGTTAATAGTCTTTCCAAACACGAGGTTTATGGTGGCCGTGAGGTGGGAAGTAACAGAGTCGTACCCTCGGTGGTGACAAGGCTGGGGGTTGTTGCCCTGGGCTGGTGCTGCTTCCGCTGTGCAGAGCCCTGGGCCTCCTCACGGGGAACCCGCTGGGAGCTGGGCGCCTGGAACAGCCCTGTTTTTGTTCGTTTTTATATACAGCTTTTCCTCTGTCGTGGCACTTGAACAAAAGGTTACAACTGCTACAGTAAAACAAAGACCTGTCCTATATCACGATGGCCTGTCCTATATAAGCTCTAAGGTGAATTCAAGAGTAGAAGCCTTACCTTCCACTATAAAATCCGAGGCAAATAATGTCGAGAGGCTTTCTCTTTCTTTTCTCTTTCCTTTAGCTCGGGCGGAAGCTTTTCGCTGTGCTTGGTGAAGGACGTCACCGCTTCTCCACTTGGCTCTGTGAGAAGTGAATGAGTGTGTCTAATGTGTGTGTATCGGGTCCATGTTACCCAGATCTACCTTCCAAAATGTAATAAACATTACTCGTTTCTAGATGCATCCCCGATTTTCTTAACTCCACTCGTTAGTCTTGAGCATTTTTTTTTTCTGTTTTAGCACCTGGCATTACGGAGGAGCTGAGCAACGCCACTGCTCTCCAAAGCACCTTCATCAGTTGGACAAAGAGAGTCCACGCTGCCACCGTCGTCCCCAGTGGTGACCCCAGGGTGACCCAGTCTTCACCTGTCAGTCCAGGGCTGCTAGGCGAAACAGACAGTTTCCCTGAGGACGCCGAAGTTACCACGACCTCAGCGTCAGTGCACTCTTCACCGGCTGACGCAGAGTTGAGAAGAAACACGGGGGCCGTGAGGAATCCAGGGCGTGGGGGATCCACTGAGCCATCCGCAGAAGATGCATTCGGCCTTTCATCGTCCGAGGGCTCGGTAGGAGTTTGGCAAAATGATTCCCCAAGTAAGTATTCCATTTTGCTTGATCTATTACGGATATTTAAAAAGTGTTGGATTTACTTAGTGACAGCTTCAGGACCATTTGCCGCCTCTAAGAAAAACGAGCATCCTTGGATGACACCGTCTCCTTTATCTAGTACGTCACGTTGCCACATTTTTGACTTGCGTCCTTATGACAACGTTATGAAGTCTTCTGACAGGCGTCACTCCCCCTGCTTTTTTTGTGGAGGGGGAAGGACACTAAGGGTCAGGGGATGTGCGCCCAGCGAGCGGACGCCTCAGCCTGAGCCCTCACTGTTGGGCGAGTCTTGTCACCGCAGCCTCGGCTCCGACCGGAGCCCTGTCCTGCCTGTAAAACTAGTTTGTCATTCTCCAGATCATCTTTAAAACTGTAGTGTGCAGTTACAGACACGCTCCCTGACTTCGTGACTTTAACGTACTCTCTATAGTTTATTTTTTGTGTATTATACTTCAAATTTAGAATAATCTATTAATAACAACTGTTTGTAAAAAGTGGTTCTGACCAAGCACTATATTTGGTATGTCATATTTGTTAGACATGACACACTCCCTCCCTGGGCCACATTTGGGGAGAGAGAATAAAATACTCAAGCTTAGTAGTTACTCTGCTGCTTTGTTCATGCTGTTTAACAGCTCCCCTCTTCACCAGCGTTTACTCTTAGTATTGGTACCTCATTGACACTGAAACAGAATTAATTACCTAGGATATGAAAACGCATGTCAGATCGCACATATAACACATTCTGTGCCAGGCCGTTGCACAGGGGGGTCCTTGCTGAGAGAGGACTCACCTCTCAGTGGCGGAGGGGTCTCTCCCACATCTGTGTAACGGCGGCCTTCTTGCAGGCTCGGGAGGACACCAGCAGGCCAGCAGCCCTCACACGGAAAACGGAAGCCTCCTGTATCGGACTGAGCCAGTGTCAGTCCCGCGGGGCAGAGCAGGAGGGAGCACCGCACGCTGGGGGTCGACCAACAGCAAGACATTCGCAGAGGTGACAGCCAGCTCTGCTTCCTCTGCTGGAGCTGTGGATGCTTCAGTTCTGACCCAGTTCTCAGCCTCTGCCCCGCAGTCTGGAGGGAGTGACCCGGCGCTGGCCGAGAAGAGTTACTCTGAGCCAGCCACCGAGGCTTTGTCCTCATCCTCCTCAGAAAGCCTGGAGTCCTCGGCACCACGCGGGGAACGCTCGAGTGAGTGTCCGCTCCGTGGAACTGCCCCTGCGGAGGGGACGGGGACTTACCAGGCCTGTGATCTTCTGTAGCATAGTGGGGCCGTGTGTTAATGAAATGGCTCCGCACTCCCCTCTAGTTTCATTGTTCCCGGGCCGTTCTTCTAGCTGGTGGACACAGAGACACCAGTGTGTGCCCAAACTTTTCTGGTGCCTCTCCACAGAGTTGCTGCTGCCACCTGCCGATGCCACACAGAGTTCAGGGACCTCTCTGTCCACAGCCTTCCGCTCCTCTCACCCACCTCACACCCCATACCTGCCTTGCCACACAGCTTCTGGAAGGTTGTTCGAGAAACTCTCTTTAAAATAGCTTTATCGAGATATAGTTCACATTGTATACAATTCTCCCATTTAACGTGTGTGATTTAAACTGGTTTTTAGTACATGCACCAAGTTGTGTGACCGTCACCAGTGTCTAATTCCAGAAGATCGTCATCGCTCAGAAAGGCGCCCGGTGCCAGAGGTCACGCCCCATTCTCTCTTCCTTTCAGCCTCTGACCACCATCGATTTACTTTTTGGATTTGCCTGTTGTAGACATTGCCTGTACATGGAGTCGTTTGCTATGAGGCTGGCCTGCTGTTTCCGAGGCCCATCTGTGTTGTAACGTGTGTCAGTATTTCATTCCGTTTTGTGGCTGAGTCGGATTCCATGGTGTGGATGGACCATGTTTTGTTCACCTTTTCAGCAACTGGTGGATGTGTAGGTTTTTAAAAAGTCTTCTGGCTGTTGTGAACATCCCAGTACAAGTTTTTGTGTGAACATGTATTTTCAATTCTCTTGGATTGCTGGGTTAGTTACTCTATTTTTAACCTTTTTTTAAATTGCTGTTTTTTGGGTTTTGGTTTTATTTATTTATCTTTAGAGGGGAAGGGAAGGAGAAAGGGAGAGAAACATCAATGTGTGGTTGCCTCTCATGCGTCCCCTGCTGGGAACTGGCCTGCAACCCAGGCGTGTGCCCTGACTGGGAATCGAACCTCGATCCTCTGGTTTGCAGGCCTGCACTCAATCCACTGAGCTACACCAGCCAGGGCCATTTTTAACCTTTGGAAGAACTGCCAATCTGTTCCGAGTGGCTGCACCACTTTATCTTCTCACCAGCCGTGTGCAGAGGTTCCAGTTTCTCAGCATCTTTGCCAGCGCCTGTTGCCGCCCACCCTTTCTGACTCTCGCCATCCCGGTGGGTGCAACGTGGCATCTCACTGGGTTTGACTTGCACCTTCTGGTCCAGCACCTTCTCTGGGGCTCACCGGCCTTTTGTGTACCTTCCTAGGAAATGTCCGTTCAGATCTTCTGACTTTTTAAATTGGGTAACGCATCTTTTTTTTTTTTTTGAGTTATAAGAGTTCTCTGCATAGTCTGGGTACCAGCCTCTTGTCAGATATATGATTTGCAGGCATTGTTGCCCATTCTGTGGGTTGTCTTTTCACTTTCTTCATGGCATTATTTGAAGCGTGAGAGTTTTTAATTTTGATGAAGTCCAATTTATCAGCTTGAGAAAACTTTTTTGATGCTCCTTTCTAATGCTGGTTTTGTATAATTTTTAAAAACCACTCTCAGCAGGCTTATCCATGTGAGTTGTGTGCTGACTAGAGCAAAAATGCATTCATTTATCATTTAAATTTATATTAGGTTTAAATTCTTACCTCTTCCCCACTAAGAATAACATCTGCGTTTCCCCATAGGCACATCCTAATTGGTGGGGGAAATTAGCATGTATTACCACTCATGTGATCCGAGAAAACGTGCTTATCGTGAAAGAATACCATAATTATGGCTGGAAGATGCTCACGCTCCTTTATGTCTGCGCATGGAAAATGCATTATCTGTCTCCTACACAAAAGGGGTGATTTTCCGCCCTCACAGTTGTGGGCTCAGACTAGTCACCTTTCAAACCAGGAGCCTGGGTTCTCTAGCCTCCTCTTTCCCCGCCCCTCAGTGCACATTCCTCTGCGGCTAATGCTTAGGTGGGTCTAGTAGAGAACGGGGTGGATTCTGGGGTGCGGTTATAAAGCGCGAGGCACAGAGCGGCCTCATTCCTGAAACCACCCACCTCACTGTGGGTCCACACGATGCCTTCCCTCGTCTCCTCGGGCTGCCCAAAGCCGATTCTGCCGTCCGGCCTTTCAGAGTTCTCCTGCCGTTCCTTTCATGGGTTCAGATGCAGCCCCTCTGTTTGAGGTCATGACTCTCCACAGAGTGAAGTCTGCCGGCCCCATGGGGTTGTTTGCCTAGATTTTGTCTAACAGAGCCCAGCGACCTCCCACCCCAGGCCTGTTTGCCTGGGGAGCTTGCACTCAGATCCACTCAGCACTGAAGACTCTACCTGTGGCTCTTCCATGGGCCTCTGAGGCCCTGAGTCAAGCATCATCTTTCCCTGGTTCCCGGCTTTCTCGGTGCTACTCCAGGTCACCGTCCTATCCCTGTCCCCATGCTCAGTTCTGCCCGTCAGTGAACACGAACCTCTCGTGAAGTGAACTTACCTAACACTCTGCTTTAATCTGTTTTCCATCACGTTGTCTCCATGGGGTATCAAGAGCCACAGGGGTATCCGGTCTGGGAATAGGAATGAGAACCAGGAAAAGAGCCTGTTTTCTCATAGAGCCGGGTTATGAAATATTTAGGCCAAGGAAAATTGGATCTCACTTCCATGTCCAAGAAAGGAAGAAAAGGATATTTATTCGTGTGTCACCTGTCCCTCTGCTAGCCCCACCAAGAAAACAAGTACATTTAAAACACACACACGCAAACCCAAGCCCACCCGTAACCTCTGATCACAATGCAGTTTCTCACGGGTGTGTGAGGATGGAGACCAAACACCGCGAATGGCAGACCCTGGGGCAGTTCCCACGCCACTGGGCCTCCCACAGGACCTCGTCAAAAGGTCTAAAGCCCCAGCAGGGTTGTTAGTCTTTAGCCCACCATTCACCTCCCCTGCAGCCACTGCCCATTTCTCTGACAGAAACTCGATGTATTATGTGTCTCCAAGCAGAATACAGTATTGATCCCGTTCAGTTAAGTAATAACCCCGCCCATAAATCCGGTCACCTGAGCACAAGCTGATCCGCAGTGCTCCCCGGGCTTTCAGTCGCTGGCAGGCGTCTGCAGGGCCCGTGCGTTTGGTCTCCTCAGGTGGGGACCCTGAGGAAGCCTGGGAGGCGTCTGGGCTAACGACGTCCAGGACGCGAGCCTTACGCCCGAGACTCAGGTCCATGCTGTTGTCTCCTCCCGCACTCACCGGTCACCCCCTTTTCAATCTTCCTTTTTTTTCCTTTTATTGAATTTAGTGGTATAACACTGGTTAAAAAAATTATACAGGTTTTAGGTGCACGGTTCCGCGGCACATCATCTGTGTTTACCACCCCAAGTCCGGTTTCCTCCCGCCACTGCTCGCCCCCTCGACCCTCCTCTGCTCCCTCCCACCACCCCCACCCGCAGCCACACTCGTTCACACCGTGAGTTTCTCTTCTTCCTTCTTTTTGGCTCAGTCTCTCCAGCCCCCACCCCCCAACAGCTGTCAGCCTGCCTTTTATCTGAGTCTGTCTCGACTTTGCTTTGTAATTTACTTTGTTCATTAGATTCCACCTGTGAGAGAAATTGTGTATTTATCTTTCCTTTTTCAATCTTCTCGTAGCCACTGAAGACGGGCCTGAGCTGGAAGTCACTGCCCACGCAGGTGCCCGGGGGCGGCCCGACCGGACGTCTGGGGCCCACGCCCGCGGCCCGCACACGTCAGCCACGTTCACCGGCAGTGGAGAGCGCACACTGCGGTCTCTCACCAACGCAAGCGTGACCTCCCGTGAGGTGGCGCCTGGACAAACAGACGAAGAAACAGACAGCGCCCCTCTGCACGGGAACGGGACTGCGGCTGGCGTCGCCCCCAGAGGTGGTGAGCAGGGCCTCGCTCCACACTCCTTCAGCCGTCTGTCCATGCCCCGTGGTCCCAGAATGATTCAGTTCACTGTCCACTGTGGAAGTACCTTACCAGATCTTTACAAAGAGAACTTTCTGTGTTCCCTCACCTCCCGCCCCCCCACACATGCCAACGGTGTCTGCCAGGATGCTTGCATAAAAGAGAACGGCCACATTGTGGCTGAGACCGATCTCCTGGGAAAGAAATATCTCATACAGAACAGAAAGTTGGGAGGGTTTTCCTTCTTCCATTCAGGGGGAACAATAGTTCTATGTGGGCTCTTAAGAGCTTTTAAGATACCAATTTGCTTTTATCGAAATAGGCCTGTGGAAGGAATTTGGACCCGTTCCCTATTCTTGGGCCCCCGGCCCCACCTCTCTCATGGCCCTTTCCAGTGCTGCTCCTCGGACCCAACAGTCCCTGCCTGCCTCGCACACTGTCTCTCCCGAGAACTCACCACTGAGAACCGCACCCCCAAGGAAGGGTTTCGCCCACTGGGGTTCGTGGATAGTACACTGGCTGTCTTTTTTAGAGGGTGTGTTCAGGAGATTGCTTATTTGTTTAGTTGACCTAACTTTAGTCTTTCCCTTTGCAGTCACTGGAATTAGCTCCGAACAAGTGAGTGGCACCCATGCTGAACAGAAGGCTTCCAGCGACCACACAGACTACGCCTACGTCTCCTCCACTTTCACCAGGGGAGAACGGGCATTACTGTCCATCACAGACAGCGGGGCATCCTTGGAGACGAGGGAGAGTTCGACCTCTTCTATTAAGATCTCAGACTCCTCACGTCCAGACTACCCTTCCTCTTCTCGGGCTCAGACGGAAAGAAGTAACGTCTCATTCTATGGAGGGGAACATGCTCAGCCTTCCACTGAGTCGCTGGGTCTGCACACAGCCAAGCTTCCATCCTCCGCACCCACCATGAACATGCCAAAAACCTCGGTGCTTCTGCGCACGCGTGCCGGATCTGTTGGTGACTCTCCTTCGTCCGGCTCCCCCTTGCCCCTGCCCTCGGTGTCACAGTCCCGCCAGTCTTCCTCCTCAACTTCGTCATCCACCAGGGCCTCCGCTCCTCCCCCGGGGTCCACTTCTGATGCACCCACCCCTGTTTCTTCCTCACCACCGCCTTTACCCATATCCTTGACGCTCTCCACCCCCGCCTCACCGCCCGTGTCCCAGACAACCCTGCTGCCTTCATCTCCTACGCTGGCCCTGCCCAGGGCAGGGGACACACCTGTGACTGCAGTTCGGATGTCGACAACGGCATCCTCTGTGGAAATGCTCTCCAGGGGTCAAACAGCAGATCCGGGGCACCAGAGCAGCCCACACCACGAGAAAATGTTTACAGAATCAAAGCCACCAGGCCTGCAGCCTCTGCCCACGGAGGCCACGGAAGCTGAGAGAGTGAGCTCGGTCTCAGGGATTCGTCCCCCGCCCACCTTAGCAGAGTCCTCCACTGAGCAGACCCTCCCAGCCACGAGCACCAGCGTGGCCCAAACACCTCCAGCTTTGACAGCCGCCACTCTCAGGACCTCGCACGCCCCCGTGCCCACTCCCAGCCCCTTGTCAAGCACAGCAACTCCGATGGCCGGCCCCACAGCGGGACAGACTACAGCCGAAAAAGGGTTCTTGCCGACCAGTCCTGACATTCTGGTGCCACAAATCTCAACGCAAGTTGCTGTTATCACGAGAAGGAACCAAGTGCCCATAGATGATACTACCCAATCGGGCTCCCTGACCAGTGCCCCCACATCAGCTAAAGAACCAACAACAGTGCTTGGCGTTTCACAAGAGTACAGCCCAGCTTCACATTTCCTCAGAACGCCTTCTTCTCCCCAGAGCACAGGGGTTTCTCCAGCTGAGGTGCTGACTCCCAGATCGACCACCGTCCATGCTGAGAGCAGCACACAGTCCTCGACAGCCTCAGGTAGGACACAGGCGCACAAGCATTGCCCAGAGCTGCTGGGGCGGGCATTTGTTTGAATGTGTAGCAGTGACTGGTGTTTGCAATGCTGCAGTATTTGTGATCCCAAATGCGTCCTGTTGAAGCTCAAAATGATGTCACGGTGGACCTAAGTTTCTCCCCCCTGAGTTACATAATTCTTCCTGAGGAAGGAGGAGCGGATGCCATTGGCTGTACATGACATCAGTTGATAGTGTAATTGCAGCATGTACTGCCCTGTAGTTGCAAGTGGTTTTCAAGCATGCCTTTAACTCTTCCACGGCCGGAGTGGGCAATGATGTGGGATTGGAGGCGAGAGAACGTGGCGTAAAGGAGCTTCAGGGGGCCTGTCTGAGACATGAAGTGAGAGTAGGTGGTGACGGCTCCCAGATCAGAGCCCCAAGCTTCTGAGTCAGTGGGGTGGCTCCAGTCACCAGAGAGGCTTCTCGTGGTCCAGGGAAGCCCAGGCAGGCTCTTTTGCCTCCCTCGGATGATGTTGCTAGTTGACAAAGGTCTGTAGGGGTGGGGGGTGGGGCAGGAGGGGGTAGAGGAGCATGTTTAATAAGAAGATGCTGAGCTAATCTTTTCCTATAGTGTCTGCGTGACCAGGGCTCTTTTCATTGTGCTTGAGGTTATCTTTACCTCCACACTGAAGTTCCCAGTGCAGGAAAGTACAGCCATCGTCCACGTGATTCTTTACTGTGTAAGGAAAGGTAGAAGTGCAACGATCTGTCTTTTGGTATCATGTTCGAAATTGTAGGTTTGGCTTGTCCAGACCCAGGAAAGGAGAACTGCTGTTGGTGATGGGGTGAAACGGAGACCAGCATCTTAAAGAAAAAGATGAGAAATGCTTCCTCGTGACTGGAGCAGGGGGTGCGGCGGTTAGTGGCAGAGTTCCACCTGAGTCAGCCATCGGCAGTCTGGTGGCTGCAGGGACACACCCACCATCCCTGCCAGCACCACTGTGCCATGGTTTGTCAGTGGCCTTTTGTACCAGTGACCCCAGCACCTCTGGGGAACAGAAGGTGGATCCTTCACCTGGGAAGTGTGGGATCCCTGCTTCACAGTTGGCTCACAGAGCTTCATTCCCGGTGGCCAAACATACACAATCTCCTGTAAAGCTGATCATGGCCATTGCAATGGTGACTGTGGGCGAGTATTAGGAGCATCATCACTGGCTGCAAGTGTATTTTTGTGACAGGATCCATGGGTTCAGTGTTCGGACGTATAGCTGCTGTGCTTCGACGGGTGATTTTAGGTAAATAAAAGTGGTGGCGAGGAGCGGGACACCATCTCTAGATGTAGCCCATTTGTTTTTATTCAGGTTACTCTTCTGGACTTAGAACTCTTGGCTTCTGCCTTCCTTTTCTCATTCTACCACTGATTTTCTTCTTGGAGACGACGCAGTTACTTTGTGGGTGTCGGCTTTTCTAAGTATGTGTCGGAAACCTTTATTAGGCCCTTGTTACGTAACTGGAGCACGACAGTGCGGGTTATACAGACCAGAACAGAGTTGTGGTCACTGCCCTTGGGAACCCAGAGTCCGAGATGACATCGAAGCCAGTGCATCAGTAGGGCCTGGAAGAATCATCCAGGCTCGTTGTTACATTATGCAAACAGGAGGCATTGCAGTGCTCAACCCCAAAGGGTTTTCTAAGCCATTGCACAACCAGTGGAGGCCCACACGTCGTTACAGTTGAGCAGCAGGAGGATGGGTGATCGCGGATCCTTTTCCACTTAATGTGCGTTTTCAATGGGCATTAATTCAAGTAGAATTTTCTAAGTATCAGAAAGGCAGTATAATCGCCAACCCCGAATAGTGTGACGTGTAAGTAGCACTTGGATTTGAACCAGTGCTTGCAGGCAGCCATCCAGTTGTCCGACGCTGTGTCGGTACACAAGCGAGTGCCGGAATCCAGTGTCACCGCTTCTCTGCTGCTCCTCTTGGGGAACCCATTCTATGTCAGTAGTGTGGCCTGTCAGGGCAAGTACCCAGAAATAAGCAAGAATCAGATATTAGCCAGGAGAATCAAATATTCCCTCAGAGCTGCCTTTACCTGTCCTGTGTGGTTAACTGCTTTCTTCCTGGACTGTGTTTTTAGTGAGCGGCTGTGCCCCTAACCCTTGTCTTCACGATGGGAAATGCTTCGTGGACACGCCCGGCCGTGGGCGTCGGTGCGTGTGCTCGCCTTCCTGGCAAGGGGACGACTGCAGTGTGGGTAAGAGGAGAGGCCGCCCCAGTGGTCCGCAGTCCAGCAGCACACCGAGATAGACAGGGAACTCTTGTTCTTTTCTCCAGAATGCAGGGGACTAAGATTTTCAAATCCATACCCTGCTTACTTGGGAGTTAGCACGCCTGTGTGTCGTTGGTAGGATAATGTCAGACACTGAGGTTGGAAAGTCTCCACGATCTGGCTTCACTTCGTGGGCTCCCTCTACGCCTGCTGCTCCGGACCATCCCCCGCTCCCCCGGCCCCTGGGCTTTCCTGCACCTGGGCCTGCACTGTGCAGGTGCCTCAGCCTGGAGTCCCCCCACTTACATCTCTTAACGTTCTTCTAGTCTCAGTCCATATATCATTTGAAATCATCTTAATCCTCCCTTCCATTAAAATTGCTACTTTCTCTGTACTTCCAGATCCTGCCTTGTGTTTATAGTTGGCTGTATACATGCTGCCTCTATCCTTACTAGGCTGGTAGCCCTCTGAGAACAAGGCCAGTGTCCAGTTCACCCCTGGGGCCCCGCTACGCCTAGTGCCATTCGGCCCTTAGTAAGTGCCTGCTGTAATGGGCTTCGGTTTTGCTCTTCTGCCCTCTGCAGATGTGGACGAGTGCCTCTCGAACCCCTGCCCACCCCTGGCCACGTGCAACAACACTCAGGGGTCCTTCACCTGCAGATGCCCAGTTGGGTACCAGCTGGAAAAAGGAATATGCAATTTGGGTAAGAGTCTATTTTGGAACTCTTTCTACACTGCAGTATATTTTGCAAAGGAACATAAAAAGTAACGTTTTTTTCCCCTAATCTAAATCAATATTTGTCCGAGGTGTAACGTAAGGAATACAGGAAGAAGTGGCATATGCGGTCTATTATTCCGCCACTTAGAAATACATCATCTTATCTGAAACTTTTTTGGTGTACATTATATTCTTATATAGTTGAAATCATGTGGTATTTGTGCAAACTTTATGTCTTAAACATTTTCTCATGTTATTAAAAATATTAGACAAGCTTTTTAATGAGCATATAAATATACCGTCATTTGTGCATTATGCTGCTTAATCATCCAGCCTGCAGTTACAAAAAATACGAATGTATCAAAGGATAGTCTGATCACATAGTTTAAAAAATGCTTTTAAGGGAGAGAGAAAAAGAGAAGAAAAACCTGATCGTCCTACCAAATTCACACGTTCTTTTCATGTTTAAAATCCATCTTCATGTCCTCGTCCACAGGCAGATATGTTTTTACAAAGCTACTGCCATAACCGTACTGGACAATTTGTCATGGTTGGTTGCCTAATTGGATAGCTTCATGAAAAACTGGGTTGATTTTAGGTATAATCACTACTTTAAGATTAAGAAGTAAACAATCCACACGGAAACTAAAGCCCTGACAAGGCGCTAAGTGGCCAAGCACAAACAGCTGCTTGATCGGAGGCCGGGTTCCCAGCCCGCACTCCTTCCATTGCGCAGTGACTTGTTAATCCTGAGAGCTGTCTTGTGCAGTGTGTGACCCTGTATTTGACAGCCTCCTTCCATACCTAACTTGTTGAAAAATTAGAAGTGAAGAACAGAGAGCTGTTATCTAAGCTTGATAAGGAAACTGGCAGGTAAAGTGAGTCAACTCTGAATCATCTTAAATTGTCCAGTGTGATTCTTAACATACAAAAAGTACTCAATAAATATTTTTTAGAGAGAACAGGTGTCTTTGTGTTTTGCGAATATCATTTGCATGAACTCCTACTGCCTGTAGGCCAAGGGGAATCGTCAGACTTTTTAGAAGGTTGTGTCCAATGACAAAACTAAAGCAATTTGGTCATTGGCGTCCTTGATGTAAGGGGAACAGCTCCTGGATGGGGGAGCACAGTGCCTCACAAGCTGTGGAGCACGTTTCCTGAAGGACTGTGGGCAAGTGTGAATTTGTTAGAGGGCTGGAAGTGGCTACCTGGAAACAGTGTGTGATTGGCTGGGCCTGCGTATCCTACAAGGAAGTAAGTGTAGAGCCCAGGGTTGGTGTGGAGTATGGCGACTGACTGACTGGATATACTACATTTCTGGCCCAGCAGAGCACTGGTGTAGGATTACAGAAGTTCGGTTTGCCAACCCAGCAGCCTGGACAGGAGCAGCTCCATCTTGGGCCTGGAAATGTATTACAACAGTTGCTACCCTACTAAAATAATGGTAGAATTCTGAAAATTGTTTAAAATACAAGGATCAAGTCAAAGCATTATTTAAAGAAAGAAAAATCTAGGAATATAGATATCGGTCAAAACCAAGAATTCCTCTTATTCTAATAATTTGCTTTCAGTTAACCTATTCCATTTAGCTACACCCTATAAGAAATAAACCAGGAGTTTTTGGTTTAGGAAGGGAGAAGACAGAAATGATTTTGCTCTGAAGCAGTGCAGAAAGTGCACCTGCCCGGGGACTCTCGTGCCTGGCTCTGGCTCCGGCTCCGGCTCCCAGCTCCAGCACCGCCGCCCACTCACAGGGCATGACCCCTGCGCCTCCTTTTCCTCATCTGTAAAATCAGATCACCCCTGGTCGGCTTCCCACTTGGGGTTATTGTGACGATCAAATAAAATAATGTATCTGAGCAAGCTTTGGAAACACTAGATTTCAGGAGCACTCCCCGACAGGTTGCCAGTTTGGTTCAAATAAACTCTTATAAAAATTTTTGTTTAAAAAGAAAGAAAAGAAAATGGTAGAATTCTCCAGGTGAGAGGTAATGTTTAACGTTCGTCTTTAACCTCTGGGACCATTTGGCCCAGAATTGAAAGCATTGAAAATAGTAAACCACTCTGAATACAAAGTAATAATTATGAATCTTAAATCATTTTTTGATAACTTATATAAATCAACAGTGAAATCTGATGAAAAAAATTTCCTTAAAGCCAAGCGCATACCTTCAGAGGTGAGGCTGTCTCTGTGCCTGGGGAGGGTGCAGGGGCTGGACAGGTACTCTGTGTGGCCATCTTCACATCCACACTGAAAACAGAGGCCGCATTCACTGTCATGGTTCAGAAGAGATCTGTGTGCTTAGCATTTGCAGTCTGTCTGTCTCTGTACAGACTGTCTGGGTATAAACCCGGACCTGTCAGATGTGAAGAATAAGGAGTAGGGTGCCGGTTCTGGAAGCCTGTGTGTGGAGTGGCCCCAGGGTCCCCAGGGTCCAGGAGGAGAGAGAGTCTATTGTGATAACAATCATCTTTCCCTTTTCAAGTCATTTAACTTCATTGTTCATAAACACCAGAGGAACATGCAAATGAGAGCATGCGGAAATGCTTTCATTTGGCCAAGAATGTTTTCAAAGAGCTTCCTGCTGCTCAGAAAGAGTCCTTAGCAGCTGGCTTCACTGAACTGTAGAACAAGCAAAAAGATGTTAAATAAGGATTAAGGGCTTTAGACAGTAAGTATAAGATGTTAAATGTTTCCCCTGGCTTATTTGTGGGCCTTTTTTTTTTTTTAATTCATCAAGTAAGCTTTTCTGTGAAAAGGCAGCTTCAGGAGTTTGTGTGCTTTGGGTTATTTTTCCTTTTCTGTCCAGAGGGGAAGATAACAATTTAATATAAAGGAAGATAAGAGCCAGATATAAAGCAGGCTATACTGGCTTTTGGTTGCCTGCCCATCTGTAAGTTCCATTCCCCTCAGGCCTGATTAGCACAAATTGACGTTAACTAGAATTATATTTTATGAGAGAAATGGGCCTTGAAAATGAGGCTGTTTTCTTACGTGCCTGAATCCAGCACTATCTGGAATATGGGTGGTTTCATTACTCGGCTCATGGTCACGGAGTCTGGTGGCCTCCTGGAGCGGGGCCTCACTGTGGACATCTGGAACCTTCTGCTGCAGCCCCTTGGCCATCCTTAGACTATCAGATTTCTCAGGGGGCTGTGGGGATAGCAGAACCCAGAAGATGGGCACATGTGACATTAGATGTTAATTTTGGCCCTTGGAAGCTGTGTGACCTTGGGAAGTTACTGACTTCTGGAAGGCTCTTCTATCAGTGATCAAATGGGCATTTCCTCTGAGCAAGAGGAATAGGGGTTGGTGGGGGTGACAGTAGTGAGAAGAGGAAGCCAAAGCCTGCCCGTGAAGGTGAGGACTCACCAACTTGGTGAAAGACCTCGAGTGTGAGAGCTCTGCTCCCTCTAAGCCTTCACGGGCTCGGTGAGCCTTTCTGTGTCTGGCCCCGAGTCCCCCTGTAGGAGTGTGTTCTGCAGGCCGGCTCACCTCTTTCCTTTGTCCCAGCTTTGTGAGGCATCTGTTATGGGAAGGCCACTAGAGAGACCTGAAGAAGGCTCCTCTCGGCAGCCCTCCCACATGCTCAGTCTGAGCCTCCAGCTCAGCTCAGCAGATGTTCACTTTGCTAGAGAGAAGCCCAGAGCGGGAGAGGTGGCCTGCACCCTCCAGGAGAAAGAAGTGCACGGAGGTGGCCCTTTGAGCTGGAGTAAAGCTGGATGCCCCAGAAGGTTACAAACACACGGCCGCGTAGGCCCACCTGTTGTGTAGCCTAACAGGTTATGTTTTTATTTTCAGTTAGAACCTTCGTGACAGAGTTTAAATTAAAGAAAATGTTTCCTAACACCACTGTGGAAAAACCATCGGACCTACGTGAAGTTGAAAATGAGATCACCAAAACAGTAAGTTTTCTGAAAGACGTCTTCCTTCCAGTCCTTTGCTTGCTAGAACAGGTTTCATTTAGGATCGGGAACCTCCTGGAGATTGGCTATATCTCCCTCACTGTTCATTCCCGTTATATTCAGAAGGTAGAAGAACAACAGGCCTCTTGAAAATGGAGGGGAGGCGTTGAGAACTAGTGGTTCCCTGTGGAAGCGGCTCTTCAAGGTTGTCCTCAGGTGCAGCCTTTATCAGGGCCTTGGCATGTCTTTTCCACGTGCGGACTGACAGCCGCAGACGGTCCGAGGCCATGAACCTGTAAGAGCTGTTGGTGAAGAGGAATGGCCCAGAGCGCCCACTACCCTGTCTGCCGTCAGTACGCTCTGGGGCCTGCTCTCTGTGTTCAGGAAGGTGGACAGGATGAGGCTCTTTTTCCTCAAGGGAATGTCAAGGGCAGAACAGTTAATCCCGATGGTCCAGGGCTGAGAATTCATTGCATAGACTATCTAGGGGACTTTGATTCCTCTTTCCCTCTTGGCTTACTTTTGTCAGGAAAAAGGGAAAGAAAAATAGAGAAGAAAGAAGAAATGAAATGAAACTCAGATATTAAATTTTGCCTCTCAACTGCTACTGGAGGCTAAGATTTTGTGTTTAGAAAGTTGAAGTTTGTTGTTAAAATAAGTTCCAGAGATCAGCTGATTGCTGATTTCAGTTTTACTTGTTCTTTATGGGTGACAGTTAGTGTATTAAGCAACACCTAGAGGATTTTATGGGACCGTGGATTTTATTTGTATGAAGGTTAGGTTCCAGTCCCGTTTCTTACCCACGGAGCATCTGCTCCGTGACAGGCGCTCTGACAGGAGCCTCACTTCTGTGAGCAGTGTTGCTGGCACCTTTGCAGATGGAAGACTGAGAGGCTCCAGAAGTTAATGGCATTGCCTGAGCCCACACAGCCCAGGTGCAAAATTGGGGAGCAGTCCACTAGACCACCCTCACTTCTGACAGCAGTTGCAAGTTCAGGGATCCGTGAGACCACCCTCAGATCTGATAATTCACTCGGACTAAAGATCTCACCAAAAGCTGTCATACCACGGTTATCGTTTATTACAGTGAAAAACTCCAGGTTACAGTCAGCCAAGGGGAGGGAGGCGTGTAGGACAGAGTGCAGGAGGGCTCCAAACTTGGTGCTTCCGGCGTTACTCTCCCATGGAGTCGTGGACGGTGTGCGCTCCCCTGGGCGACAATGTGTTTGGTGGTCAGGCAGCGCGGCCAGCCCGGGAGCTGCCTTGAGTCTTGGTGTCTAGAGGCCATGTGTAGTGCTTGCTTCGGCAGCCCATGTACTGAAATTAGAGCCAATCTGTAGGCATAGTCAACCACCCGTATGGCTGACCTCAGTCTCCAGCCCCTCTGGAGGTCCAGGGGATATCATGTGACTCAAAGCCCTCACCATAATTCCCAGTGCTAGACTCTGTGGAGTGGCCTGAGCTGCCGGGTGAACAAAGGCACAGTGGGTCTTATATCTACTTCCACACCTTCCAGCCCTATACCTGGTGGTGGCGTCACTCCACCCCACCTGCCCCTTGGCTGTACTGCAGGCCAATAGTGTGGGCTCAGAACCCGGTGCCCTGGCAGTCCTTTCCCTTACACGGGGCTCAGTGACTACTCCAACTTGCTAACTTTTACCCGATGTCGATGTATTAAGTGACATCTCCACCCCAGGAAATAGTGAAGATTTGGGTACTGACTGGAGAAGCTACTCAAGTCCTTTCCCAAGGCTCCATTCTATTCTTAAGCGTGCTATTTCTGTTTCACCTGGCGGGGGGGGGGGGAGCTTAAGTAATAATGCTAATAGCAAGTCATTGCCTATCAAAGGTTAAGGCAATGTCATACAAAGCCATAAAGGGTTTGATAACATCCTGTGTTTGAGATGTATCTGACACATGGGCTTTGAAGCCAGGTGGGTCTTCACGGGTCTGGGTATTGAGACCCTCTGCTGCTTAACAGAAATCCCCAGCCCCAGTGTGGGGGGAACAGGGAAGCAGGCATGGGACTTTCTCTATGCCCTGGAGGGATCTCCTGCTCTCTCTGAGGGCGTGAGGCAAACACAGCCAGTCGGTCTTAATTTGCTCTCAACAAAAGGGTTCTTGACCCCACATAATGTAGTTTCCCATGGAGAGCCTTTTGAAGAGGACCTATCTTTGAGCTGGGTCAACTCATTGCAGATTAAGAAGGGTGTGCACGGGGCCTGCCAGACCTGGGGTGGCTGAGAGGAACCAGCCTTTTCATGAGGCTCATTCACTATCCAAAGTCCAAATAAACAGTTGCCTCTGAGTTTTTTGAAACCCTGGGTCTTAGAAGAGATCTGTGCTTTGAAGATGTTTTGCATCCAAGGTGCTGTTCTGAACATCATTCCTGCCAAGATTTCCCCACTGATTTACTATCTGCCTCGCTCCCTTTGTACTCCCCGAAAACAGCATAAGTTCAGGAAGGCATCAAGAGGGAACAAGAAAAGGACACCACTCCTCCGTAAAACCCCCTGCTGACAACTTGATGGCTGGAAAATGCCTGTTTAATTCTGAAAATAGGAAATTGGTTCCAGGTCTAGGCTTTTGTCTAACTCACAGTTAATGACGAACTCGTTCTTCCTTTCAGTTAAATATGTGTTTTTCCACGTTACCTGGTTATACCCGATCCACAGCTCACGCTTCTAGGTAAGTACGTTTGCCTGTGAACCGGTCTGTAGAAAGGGGAGGGTATTCTTACATGGTAGCAGCAATAAAGCTGGGCCCTGTTTGGAGCAGGCCACAGCGTGACCGAAGTCAGTGGACCTTCATGCTGTCCCATTCCCTCACTGGACAATGGAGATGACACTTGCTTTTCAAAAACCTGGGGGCCCACATGTCCTTTTAGAACAATAAAAACCTACACACGTTGTTTTAGGGAGCCCAGCGCTGTGGTCATGTCGCTGCAAACCACCTTCTCCCTGGCCTCCAACGTGACTCTGTTCGACCTGGCCGACGGGATGCAGAAGTGTGTCAACTCCTGCAGGTCCTCTGCTGAGGTCTGCCAGCTCTTGGGATCCCAGAGGCGGATCTTTAGAGGTAAGAGAATGCCCCTCTGGGAGGGCCCCACCCATGCAGTTAGGCACAGAAAATAGAAATGAACTAGAATAGAAATGTAAGGTGTTTGGAGCTTATCACAGAGCCAGGCTGTCTTTGAAATGGGTGTTCAGCAAAAAATCGCTGTGTGTGTGCACCTCTGTACGCATGTGAGTGCACTCACACACACACACGTACTCTTGAAGTCACCTGGTCCTTGGCATGCTGCCCCTTCTGTTCCTATGCAGGACCTGATGTGATAAAGCAGAAGTCACTCTCCTTTCCCTTGCGAAGTTCCCACTCTCTCTGGGGAGACAGACATTCACACACAGAACGTACCTGCTTGTCAATACCCCAACCCTCCATCAGCCTACACACTATTAAGGAAAAAGCATGTGCAGCATCACCTGCCATCTTTGTTTATTTGCACATCACCAGAGCACAGAAACAAGACCCGAGAGATGTAGCACAGACTGCACGGTGCTGTTCGAGATCATCTCTGCCTCCCTGTGCTTGCTTTACCTGCTTTGCCAGAAAGCATCTGTGGTGCGTCTAGTAGAAAGCAGATGGGGAAAGGGGTTAGAAACAAGTTCAGAAGGCAAATTTGAGTCTTGGAGGAGCAGTCTTGCCTCTGGGGTGGGAAAACTGCTGGAATCAAAGTGCTTCTTCGCCAAGGGGGCTTGTCCCCGCTGCCATCTCGTAAATGATCAAAGTGGGCTCTGCTAAGCTCACTTCACTACACAAGTGGGATGTGGAGCCTGTGTGAGCGCCCATCTGGTGCCCAGACGCCGACCTGAGCTGTGGGTAGAAGCTGTGGTGCCGCATCTGCTGGTAGACCCGGGACGAGGTCCCCCGTGGGCTGGGGCTCTGTGAGCGCTGGTCCCCGGGCTGTTGGCAGCGCCCTCACTGGAGAGAGCCTGTGAGCCGAGAGTTAGCCTTTCGCTCTGGGATGAATGCTGCACCTTTGGCCTATTTCAGGGCTAGTTATTAATTTTTTAAAAAGCTAAACTTTCTGGAATTGTAATTACTATCACTCAGCATCATTGGGGAATTAGCTTAAAAATCTATGCCCCGTTACACTGACTGTGCTCTGAACTCTGAGGCAAGAACACGTCAGTTTACTTTGTTTCATTTTGTGATCCAAGGGCCCCAGTCTGTCCTCCCCAGCGAGTAGGAAGGGGGCCTTTGAACTCACCGCACATGCAGGGACCACACCCTCTGTGGGCAGCATTGTATGCGGTTGCTTGTTGTCCCCAGTAAATGCAGGTCATGCCTTGCAGATCCAGCGGCCGGGTGCTGGGTCTGTAAGGGTGTGTTCAGAGCAGCCGGGTCCCTCTCACACTCCCCTTCCTCCACCTGCCCAGGTGCCTGTGGCTCTCGGGAAAGCCCCTGTTCTCCTTGCTGAGGTTCCATTCTTTTCTTTTTCAAGACTTCAGTTTTTTAAGAGCAGTATTAGGTTCACTGCAAAACCGAGAAGAAGGTGCAGAGAAACCCGACTGAGCCCCTTGTCCCCACACTTGCATCCCCTCTCCTCTCAGAGCCCGTGAATTGCAGGCTCACTCGTGGTTCTTCATCCCAGATCTTCTCCAGGTTTTGCCGACACTCAGCCCGGGCTCTGGCTCCCCTTTCTGAGTGCTGGCGAGGCGGCTATGATGGGCCAGAGCCCTCAGGCTCCCGACATTGGGTGTTTCCAGCCTCTGGGCAGCACCGGGCTACTCTGGACACGGCCATTGGAAAGGCGGTTTTTACTTTTCAGTTCACAAAATACCTGCTTCTCCGCCTTTCAAAACCCTGCAGGTCATGTCTCGAGAGGTTTCAAGTCCTTGGAAGTCGCCCGTGCCTCGTCTCAGCCTTGGGTTTTACCTAAGTTCTCATTGCCTTGTGCGGTGGGCGTCAGGCCCAGGAAGGGCTGTGCGTGGGAAGCGTGGACATAGAAACTCACTTCACCAGGCTTAAGATGAAAATGGGGTTCTGAGTGATTCGTTTGATGGCTTTATGATGGGTAGCCGCTCCACCTTGCAGAGGCAGGCCAGCTGCTCTTGCGTTCCGGTGAACCTGCTTCTGTGCAGGCGCGGGGGGCTTCAGGCGGAGGGCAGCGTCTGCCAGCACACCGGGTGAGCGGGCAGGACGGAAGGAAAACACGACACTGGGTTCCAGAAAGTATCTAATCAGGCCAGGCAGCCCAGGCTGGCTGCGGGACGAGGCTGGTGCCGGCCTGGGCAGCCTCTGGCCCTGAGCGATCTTCTTCGGATTAAGGCTTGAGCACTGGCAGAGCCTTCAGAAGGTATACATGAGGGACTGCGGAGTTTTGGAACCTCTCTGGTGCCAGCTTTGCGGTGTTTGCTCCGTGAGATTTTCCATTTTTCACTTTTCTCCCTTAATAAACAAAGACTCCCCACAATAAACAAAGGAAATGCTATCACACACACAGACAGGGTTCTCATTTAGCATGTTGGCTTCCACTGATAAAGACAGGAAATTTGGCGCTGAGAACTCAAGTCACGTCCTAAACTTACCTCCCTGTGGCCAGGCCGTGCACCAGGTCCCCAGCTCTCAGAACTCGGAAAAGGAGGCTGATTCTGCGCCCCCTCCCATGCCCCAACCCTCCCGGGTGGGTGTCAGCTCCCATCACCAGAACCTGCCTGGGTGGGGACACCTCTGCCGTGTTAAGAGCTGGTTTCTGAACAGGTTGATGTCCTTCCTTAAGGTGGGAGAAGGGGAGAAGAGACCGTCCTCACTGTACAACATACACATTGTCCTTCCAGGGCCCTCTTCCCATTCTGAACTTGCACTTGTCTGCCAACAACAGCAGCCATATGGCTGGCTTGCCTTGCCGTGTACGCTGGTCGGCATCAGTTACTGCTTACTCTCCCGCTGGTTTTGTATGTTTGTTGTATTGTCTGTGTACCCCAATTACTTGCATCTTGTTCGGTCAGGCTTACCTTAGATGGTAAAATGCACCCTCACTGTGCCCACTGTGTACAACCCGGGGGGGTCAAGGTACACAGTGTCAGGGAGGGCCACATGCCCAGCACAGGGGCTTTTTGGATAACAGTGAAATGGTTCTTTGTCATCCATGAAATGAACATGACCCACATGCCCAGGGGTGGACACAGACAGGCGGACACACGTGAGAAATAAGGACAGGAGGAAGAAGGCACGCCCGCTCTGCCCACCCAGCTCTCTTGCTGACCCAGCGACAGGTGGTCCGGCACCCCGTTCATACGTGTTACCAGGTGCTGGTGTGTGGCCCAGTCTCCCGGCGAGGTGCTGAAGACCCAGAGACAAATAGGCCTGAAGACACAGCAAATGTAGCAGGGAGACAGACAGGTGACATAATGAAACCACAGCCCCCAGAGAGCAGTTACCTTCCACACCTCTCCCCGGAACGTCTGTGTTAGGCAGCAAGCTGCCTCCACAGCAGTGTGCTGCCTGCCTTTCAGCTGCACGGACGCAGTGCTGAGACATGCTCTCCGAGGCCCTCGGCTTCCTCAGAACAGTGTGGTCATGGCTTCTGCGTTGGTGTCAGTCTCCCCGCTGCAGTCCTTAAGCAAGAAGATGTCACACCTTCGAGGGCCGGGCTGCGGTGGATGCTGGGGTCGGGGGCAGCACTGTTTATTTGGGTTTCTCAGTCTCACTGTGCGCCGTGCGAACTTCTAGTGAGCGGGCCTGGGGCCCACAGCGGGGAGCGTGGCAGAAGGCAGAATGGACCTCAGAAAGGAGTGTGCGCCGTGTACACTTTTTGGAAAATTGTTCTCAGAGCCTCTTAAAATAGAAAGTTCATGCATCTGAAGGTTTGAAGTCTAGGAGGTTTTGTTTCGTTTCACTGTCTTGTTTCTCCATTCCAGCGGGCAGCTTGTGTAAGCGGAAGACTCCGGAATGCGACAAAGAGACCTCCATCTGCACCGACCTGGACGGCGTCGCGCTGTGTCAGTGCAAGTCGGGCTACTTTCAGTTCAACAAGATGGACCACTCCTGCAGAGGTACCACAGGGTCTCGGGGGCTCTGCGGCCCATCCTGGGACAGGACAGATGCTTTGCTCTGCCCAGGCCTCTCTTCCTGCTCTAGGTTGACTGTTCTAAACTTGGGGTGGCCAGTTCCTTTTATTTCGCTCACAGCAGGATAGCATAAGCATACCTTACCTCCTCGGAATAATAGCGTTATCTCTGACCCCGGCTGGCCTGGCCGCTGGATTCAAAGGGAAAGAAAAAGAGAATGGAATGCCTGTGGTGGCAACGTCTTTTCTTTTCATTTTTTTTTCCACTTTAGAAAATTTCCACTTCCAAAAATTTTTAGAAAAATTTTTGTTTTAATTCCCGAAGCTTTATTCTATTGTCTGCTAATCTCCTAAAACTGTAACAGAAGCACGGAGTCGGGCTGTACCTTTTAGCAGCCGCTGTGGCTCAGTAGACAGAGTTCCAATGAGACTCAGGCATGTGGGTCAGAGTCCACCTTGGCAGCACCAGTCACGGAACATCCTGGGCAAGTCACTGGGCTTCACCGAACCTCTGTTTCCTCTGAGAATTAACAAAGGCAGTGTAACGGGCAGTACTTTATACAACATAGGCATCTACTCTTGTATTTTACCCAGGTTGTTGTTGAATCGATAAAGTGCTTGAGGGCAGAAAGCAAATTCTGCCAACCTTTCAGGTGAGCTAAAATTAAAGTCTGCTCAGCGAGTAGCACTTTGACATAAGGTGACTCCACCGTAGCACACGGCCACAAGAGAAGCTCAGCGACCTCAGGCCAGAGTGTAGCTTTAGGCATCATGTCACATTAGACTGTGGTTGGCCCACTTTTCCTGCAGTGACAGGTGTGCTGGACTCTGAGTAAAGTCGGGAAAGGAAGCATGCCACTTACATCTGTGAGAACTCCCCACGAAGGGACTCGTTCTATCAGGAGAGGATACAAATACATGTCAGGGCAGTGTTCTCATCCTGCGCTTCAGACCCTGTGACTTAGGTTTATACACAAAGGGCTCAGAAGGAGCACAGCCTCAGCTCTGGGCGCAGGCCCTGCGGCGGGCATTGAAGGCGAGAGGGCTTGGGCCCTGACAGCTCTGCGGTGCTCTCAGCACCGCGTCAGGCTGCCCTTTGATTCAGAGAGCTAGTGCTTCCTGACTCCATCTTATCTGGTTTAATGCAAAGTGTTCCTCGCCCTTCTGAGAAACCGGGCTGTAGAGCCCCACTTTGTGTGGGAAGGTGACCGCTGCTGAAGTCCTCTGCTGGGCCGCCGTATGGCCAGCAGAGGGACAGGGAAGGTGGCAGAAGCACACAGGTCTGCAGGCTCGCGGGCCCCTGTGCGCCGCGCCTCTGCAGTTGCTGGTGGCCACGAGAGGGGCCCTGCCCCTGCTGCTCCTGGCTGGCCCGAGCCGCACCCCTCTGCGTCCCTGTTAGCAGCGTCATGGTTGTGTGGCTCACGGACTAGCGTTAGCAACTGCAGAGCTGCCGTAGATTTTTCCAATGCAGTGAGTGACACAGCCACCAGCATCTCTGTTTCTCGAGTACTGACCCACTAATGACCCAGCATGAGGAAACCTCGGTTAGCTTTTGGGCCCATTGCTGAGGCGCCTTGGAGCCTCATTTCCGCAGTGTCCTCGTTTGTTTGATTTTCCCGTGTGGCTCTCAGGCCTCTGAGGAGTACATTTGGGATCTCCGCCCACTGTAGCCCTGTCAGCTGGGTTCTGATGGGTTCGCAGTGACATCTTCTGGCCATTGGTGCTGGAGCACAGGGGTATTTGAAATGAGTCCCCTTTTGGACACGGCAAATCAGGGGTCAGTCCCCGGCATAAAGGTAAGATAGAGGTGCGGGTGTGTTTTCTAAATCTCAGTAATTTGTCATTGTCCATTAGCACAGCTGCGTTGTTGTTTTGTCATGCACCCGCACACACAGTGTCTCACATGACACGTCTTCACATAAGGAAGTCTGTACCAGTCTCTCTGAGTATCACATAAAATCAAAGTAGGTGCCCTTCCCGCAGGCGTCTGAGCCTCCTTCCATCGTGCAGGCGTCGTGATGAATTCCAGCTCCCTGTCAGCAGGATTCTCTGTCTCACCGGCCACAGTGCCTTGAGGGCGGGGCCCATGTCTGGAACCTGCCTGCCACACTGCAGCGCTCGGTGACTGCTTGCTGGAGAGCAGGAGGGTGCCAGGGCAGCCAACACAACAGCACAGGATTGGCAGGGCTTGAGGTGGTTTCCTGCAAGAGAACAAAAGAGTTTTTAAGATTCCACCCCTTTAAAAAAAATAAATAAAAGGCCAGAGGGCTTGAATTCTCTCATGTTCCATATCAACAGGGAAGCCCATTTGGGTATATGGGAGCTGTACCCACATTTATCTCCTCTTCAGTGCGCTGGGGCTTGGAGTCCCTCAAGGGGTGGCGACCAGGTGTGCTGGAGTGACTGTGACCAGGTTTTCCTCCCAGAATCCCTAGAATAGCTCCATGGCCACAGTAGCATCAGTCCTCAGTGAATGGGCAAAGGAGCCCATTGGGAATAAAGAAATTTCACTATGTCAGAAGTCAGGATACTTCTGAAGCTAAGTGAAAATAGCCCGACCCATCATCAGCTTGCAGGCAGGGCAGCAGATGGACCTTACGTGTAGCTGGATGACGGTCACAGGGTGGAAAGCTCCCACCCAGCAGAGGAAGGTTGGGTGGGTAGATCTGAGGTACAGACATTTTCAGGAAAAAGTGCTTCAGGCAGAACACACTGGTGTGGTGTCAGCCACCTCGGTGCCGAAGCTGGCGGGGGAGTCACGGGGGACGCCAGCACTTGCCTTGCAGACAGGGTCATCCAGGGGCAGCCTCCCAAGTCCCCAGGGCCTGCCGCAGCATGAGGACAGCCGTGGCGCGGCACTTTCCATGACCGGGAGGCAGGAGTGCTCAGCTGGTTCCTTAGACAAGGCCCCCGCTGAGACGGCCAGGCCAGCGGAGCACTCAGAGGTGCCACAGGTTTGGGACGGGGCCCCGGTTCCTCCTTCCTTAGTGGGATATGATCGTGCTCTACCTTGTTGCAAAAAATAATTGAAGCACCCAGTGAAAATCCATATAACAAATTAATATTTAATTTAGAAGGTAAATCAGGTGGAAGGAGAAATAAAATGATGCTTTGTTATAGGTAGGAGGAAAGTGACTACACAGAAAGATACACCCTCAGGTCCTGCGTGTTTGCTAAAGGTGGGCCACTCGTTCAGATTCTCAGCTTCCTAGGCACTGAGGCGAATAGAGAAACGTGATTCTGAAAACAGGTGAGGAACATAAAGTTGATCGGGAGCATCCCCATCTTTCTAGACTCTGGGGCCCAAGAGAAGTGTCTCGAGCATCCGCCACAGGAGGTTACTGTGGGGTGAGCTCCGCAACATCCCCGACAAACACCCTCCGGGCTTGCGAGGGGCTGCTGCTTCTGCGAGGTGGCCCTTCACAGAGGATGTTGCTCAGGAAAAGCGATTCCGTAGGGTCCAATCAGTGCAGTCCAGCTCTCATGACCTGCTGGCAGAGAAGTAAGACCGTTTGAAACAGTGTTTCCGTGTCACAGAACTCTTGTGATGGGTCTCTAGTCTATAACAACAAAATAGATGCTGGAGACATTTAATGTCTAACATTGAAAAATAGAAGGAAGGACACTGCCTCACACATCTGTGTAGATAACATTATTACGCCCTGATCCATAAGAGAGGACGCAGGAAGTCTGCGAGATCGCAGATCTCAGATCCCAGTCTGCGGGGCCAACCCCTCCCCTCCCCCCAGCGGTGCACACCGCCCTGGCACTCATACCTCACCGTTAGCACCAGCGCTACCTGCTCAGGGATTTCTTCTGCTCCACACTGAGTACCCGTTCTTACCCAGGATCTTTTTTTGCAGTATATACTATATATTAATTATGAGTCAAATGTTTAACATTCCTTGCAGCAATGGATTTGTCTGAGGCCATTTTTTTATTATCTGCTTCCACCCACGCATGTGTTGCGGGTCCCGGCATTCTGTCAGCTGAGCGTAGTGTTGGGAGTGTTCTGGGATCAGATAAACTCAGGAACTGCTGATCGAGAGGAATGGCTGGACCACGGCCCTCCAAGGAAGCACCAGAGGGTTCAAAGTTATGTTCTTGGGTGACGTGCTGATCAGGGCTCATCTAGATATGTCCGATGTCACCTGCACGAACTATAGGGAACGCTTCTTTGTGAAATCTGAGGCAGCCATGAGGGCCAGAGCCCCGAGGACACCATACACTATTTCATGGAAGGGGGCCGATGGGGCCCGCGGCAGGTTAAAGGTTTGACTCGAAGAAGGCGACGCACCTGTCTTTGTGTATGTGATGTCACATGGGGGCCACAGAACTTCCAAAGAGCCTCGCGTGTGCTGGAAAGTAACGTAAAACATTTGTTTGGTGGTTGCCATGTGTCAGGCACTGGGCTAAGCCATTTACATGCCTTATTTTATTTAATCCCCTCCAAGAAACTATAAGGTAGATGTTATTATTATATACTCTTTATAGATTGAAAACTGACAGCCACAAGGAGGTTAAGAAACATTTTTTTGTAAAATTACGAGTTGAGCTAACATATACTTAGCCCAGATAATAGATCATTTTAAAACTATCTGTGGCCTTCTGGTTCTAGAATATTGTTGTAGAATTTAGGGTGGCTGGCATTTCATCAGCTGTCGGTTTGGGCCAAGAGAGGTAGACATGCCCATGGACTGTCCTTTTCTCTTTTCAGCGTGCGAAGATGGATATAGGCTTGAAAATGAAACCTGTATGAGGTAGGCTTTGAGTTCATTTACTCTGATGAATTTGTTACAAACCTTATTTAGAAATTACTTAGTAGATTGCCTCAATGATTTCTTTTGAGATTTGAAACTGATTCTTGATATTTTTCTCTGTTGACTTGCAGTTGCCCCTTTGGCCTTGGTGGTCTCAACTGTGGAAACCGTAAGTATGCAAAAAGCTTGAGTTCCGCGTGGGCAGGGTCCTCCTCCCCCCTCCCCTCCGTTCAGGTCACTCTCTTCTCAGCTCCTGCCGCTGCGAGGTGTGCAGAAAGCAGAGTGCTCTTGGGGGCTCCGGGCCTGGTGGGGGAGAGGAACACTCTCCTAAATAGCCCTGATTACGGAGTGTCAACACAGTAGATTAGGCCTGAGGTGTGTGAGGCGGGGAGGGAGGGACCTCCTGAGTTGTCCTTGGTGGGGATGGCTATGGAGGATTTGGAAAACTTGGATTGCTATGTATGGAGGAAGAAGGAACAATCTTAAAGGTCTTGAGGCAGGCTGGGCCGCATTCTGGGACAGTGCGTGAGTAAGTGTGGCTGAGGGCAGAGAGAGGGAGGTGGAGAGAGAATGGAGATGGATGAGTATAGGGGACCAGACTGTGGGGTTTGGGATGGCCAGCCTGAGAGTGTAGACTCTAGTCAGCATCCATTGCAGAACCAGCTGGTCTTAGCACAGAAGGAAGTTTGAACAAGAAAGTCAAGTCAGGCTGCAGGGAGGAGCACAGACTGGACAGGGGGAAAATGTGAGGAGGTGGAGACTTCCAGTGTAGTCATAGCCAGGGCTCGGGGCTCGGGCTCAGAGGCACTGGCTGGTCGATGCTCACGCTCCCTGGATAGGCAGGGCAGGGTGGTGGCAACTGCATATGTGGTGCAAATTTAGTTCTTTGGGAAACAGTGATTGTGATTTATTTAAGGTCACTTTCACTGACAGTTTCTTACATGCAAAACTGATCAATTGAAATCACCCGCAAAATTATGAAAGATGTTCTGGGATATAGGACGGAACAGGAATAATAACACTCAGTACTTCAGTTCAGGGTAGCTTAGTCCTTTATTCTATACATGAACATGCCGACAATCGGTATGCTAAGTTTACTGAGACCAAAAGTAGACATTTTAAAATTTAATGTGTATAAAAGTTCCCAGTTTCTGTTCCCCAGTGGTTCCCTTGCATTTCATATCCTCAATGATATTTTCTTTGCTCATAAAGCTTTCTTTTAGTAAGTTCCATTATGTACTTTTTTAGCATAAATAGTAAGTTTAATAAAACAAAACAAATTCAATCCTGAGTGTGAAGCTGACAACACACTCTCCTGGTGTGCTCAGCATGGAACTCCTCTCAGGCCAGCCCCTCGGGATTCGGAATTACACACCATCTAGTCTTACTAGTGACTTTGGTCATCTGATTTATCTTGACTGCAAAGAAGCCAGAGGTTACAGTAGACGGCGTAAGAGAGAGACTAGGGAAGTACTACTAGAGGCAACCATATTTAGAGTCATACTGAATAGAGAGGGAGGAGCCCACAGAATTAATATGTTTTTTTAAGTAATAACCTGAGGCCACTAAGTGATGGCATAAATGACCACATCATCTTAATAGTCTCCAAGGACACCATGGTGCCATGGAATCACTGAAATACAATCATCCATGATGACGGACCTACATCGTCACACACCAAAGGCTGTTCCGTGTTGCTGTGCACTCATTATTGCTCACAACACTTCTAACACCAAATACATGGGTGTGTTCCCTACACCAAGCAATTCTGACACTCTGCAGAGTTAAGACCTCACAGGTTAAGGGCTCATTCCCACAAGACTGACCCCATTTCAAACACTAATCCCAAGTCCAGGCCTCTAGCACTCATCACCCACCAACTACAAATTAGGGCTTCCCTTGACCCCTTGTCAGGTTCACTAATTTGCTAGATAATAGAGCATCTTCAGACTGACCAGAGGGAGGAGTAGCTTGCACATGAGAATAAATCGGAGAAAAGATAGGACGTTTCAATGTGCGAAACAGAGGCTGAAGAGTCAGGCAAAACGTAGATGATACTGAAGACTTCCAGTCAAGATGGCGGCATAGGTAAGCATGGCTTGCCTCTCGATACAACCACATCAAGATACAACTAAAATATAGAGCAACCATCACTCAGAACCATCAGAATTCGAGGTAAATGGAAGTCTGACAACTATAGAATTAAAGAAACTGCATCCATCCAGACTGGTAGGAGGGTCACAGATGTAGAACAGGCTGGTCCCAAATCCTTGTGTGGTGGATAAAAATTTGGGAGGAATATCTTGGGAGTGAGCCCTACACCAGGACCCCCAGCCCAGGGTTACAGTGCCAGGAAGATAAGTCTCCACAACTTCTGGCTGCAAAAAGTGGCAGGGACTGAGTCAGTGGAAGAAACGTCTAGAGTCCCAAGCAATTCCTCTTAAAGAACCCATACACAGACTTATTCAGATTCTCTCTCTGTGAGCTCCAGAACTGGGGTAGTGGCTTGAAAGGCACAAGTTGCATACGGGGAGGAACCGAAGTATCTGGCATCAAAGCAAGAGCTGGGGGACAGCTTTCTCTCAGACAGAAAGGCAGGCAGAGGCCATTGTCCCTTTCTGAGCACTCTTCCCACAAAGCCGGTAGGTAGGTGCCATATCCGAGACTCCATTAACCTGGCTCACACTGTCTGCCCACCCTGGAGATCCCCTGAGACTCCCTCCCATCCAAATTAAAGGCCCACACAAACTGTTAATCACGACTCTTCCATATGAATGACTGCTCTTGGCTCATGCTTTACAACTTCCTAAATTCTCTCAAACAAGTGACAGCTGGCCTCAGTGAGTCCCCAGCCCCTGTACCTTTTGCTAAATGGCCCCAGGTGTGGCACTAACAGCAGTCAGCCTAGATTCACAATTTGGCTTTGTCTGGGAATCTCCAAATCCAGCACAAATAGCAGACACCTCAGGTTGCTTTAGCTCATACAGGGTGGCCCCAGGCAGAACACAGATGGTTGCAGACCACATCGGAGCACCACCACCCTGCTCCTGCACAGGTGATCCTCCACAGAGGGCAGAGGTCGGTGGTCAGCAGTCACAGCCAGTCCTTGCAGCTGACTGGCCTGGTAAATCCTTCCTATTGACCTGTCAACAGCAACCACGTCTCAAACACAGGAGGAGGTGTACTCAGCCCATGTGGAGGGCCCACCTTGAGTACCCAGCTTGGGTGACAGGGGAGGCTGTGCCACTGGACCCCACAGGACATGTACTACATGAGGCCACGCTACCAAAACAGTCATAGCAGTTCTACCTAGTACATAGAAACAACCACAGGGAGGCCATCAAAATAAGGAGACAAAGAAACATGGCCCAAATGAAAGGACAGATCAAAACTCCAGAAAAGGAGCTAAACAAAACAGAGAGAAACAATCTGTCAGATGCAGAGTTTAAAACACTGGTTATAAGGATGCTCAAGGAACTTAGTGAGGACCTCAACAGCATAAAAAAGATACTGTCTTTTATGACAGAAATATTCAGTCATGAAACCCAGGGACCAACAGCCAAAATTACCCAGCAAAGCTGTCATTTGGAATCAAAGGGCCCGTAAGACAAGAAAAAAATAAAGGAGTTCATCATCATCACCAAACCATTATTATATGAAATGTTAAAGGGACTTATTTTTTAAAAAGATCAAAATTATGAACAACAAAATGGCAGTAAATACATATCTATCAACAATTGAATCTAAAAACACAACCAATAAGAACAAGAAGCAAACAAGAAGAACAGAGACAGAAATCATGGATACAGAAAGCGTTTTGATGGTTGCCAGATGGGAGGGGTGTCAGGGAATGGGTGAAGAGGTGAGGGGATTAAGAAGTACAAACAGGTAGTTACAGAAGAGCCATGGGAATGTACAATACAGTACAGGAAATGGAGTAGCCAAAGAACTTGTACACATGACCTATGGGCATGAACAATGATGGGGAGTGGCCTGAGGGAGTGGGGGTGCTGGATGGAAGGGGACAAAGGGGGAAATTGAGACAACTATAGTAGCATAATCAGTAAAAATAATTTTCAAATATGCCAAAAAAAAAAAGAGGATCTCTGAGACCTGTTGCAATGCTAGATCTAAGTAGTCTAGAGTTTTAGAATAGATGGTTTTAGGCCTCACAGTAGGGGCTGCACCAGAGCCTGTGGACTTATCCTAAGACATTAGAAGCATTAAAAACAGAAAGGCTTAGATAGTGTAGTTAATAAAGAATAGTTTAAGTGAGGCAGCACTTACAACAGAGTTGTATCACATTTGCAGGGAACTCACTGTAATATAGCCCCATCAGATGGGAAAGAGAATGAACAAAACAGGTGAGGCACCCTGGCTGGGTGCTCAGTTGGTTGGAGTTTTGTCTCGTGCACCAGAAGGTTGGGGGTTCGATTCCTGGTTGGGCACATAGGGGAGGCAACCTATCGATGGATGTTTCTCTCTCTTCCCCACCCCTCCACTTCTCTCTCCAAAATCAATAAACATACCCTCGGTGAGGGTTAACAGGAGAACAGACAGGTGAGGAGTGCGCTGCTGCAGCAGCTCTGGGGTGAGCCAGGGGGCGGGGCGGGGGGCGGGGCATCTGCCAGGCCCTCCTGGGGCCTCTGGGCCCTGACAGGCGCTCATGGAATGAGCACGTGCCTCAGACCTGCTTTGGTGAAACAGTTGCCTGCACAGTTTTTACCAGAAAATGCTTGCTCTTTCTCAGTGAATGGACGAGTGATCGATGGAGGGAAAATGGATGCAGGAGAAAGGCCTATGAAGGGTTGATGGAAGTGAGTGCAGGGCCTCGTTCTAAGTGGTGGTTAGTGATTGTTTCCTGGCCATTTTTTTTTTCCTGGAGATGATAAACCCCTACATCCATAGAGTATCCTGTTAGTTTCTGTGTCTTCCCTTTGCGTGTAGTGGAATCTTGGAAGCAGCCAGGATTTCTCTCTGAGCTGAGACTTTTCTTTCTGTTTATCCAAGTCACTGTCCTGGCCAGCAGAGGGCACACTCCTGCCTGGAAGTAGGCTGGCTCCTGGCCTTTTGTGGGTGACTGCTGGTAACTCAGTGATGGTGTGTAAATACGAGTTTATAATTTGGATACCTGCTTTATTTTTAGTGATGCCTAGCAACTAACAGTGG